CCAGAGTGAAATTCATTGAAACTCAACTGCAATCACTGCAATCAGACTCGAAGCAATAATTATCGGCAGTACAACAAATACAAGAATTAAACACCAACTATTACATATTGGTCAATTAAACTCACAAGGACTACGTTACAACTATATACTTAATACATCAGCCCAAGACAACAAGACAAAACAATTGCTGAATATGCAAACAACAATCCAAGAATACCACATTCATGGTTTCACGGAAACCTGGCTAGATAATAATTCCATCAACCTTATACCAACTTCAGAAGGATACTTCGCTTTCCATAAGATTAGGGAAAAGCCAAACAAAGCATGGCGCAACTCAGGCGGCATCACCATCTTCATTCTTGGTGTAACTATTCAACAACAAACAAGTGACTTTACTCTGTGGTGCTGATTATGTATAAACTTTTTCAAATTGGAAAAGGATATTTACCTGTGTACAGTCTACATCCCACCATCCAACTCATCATATTATGAAAAGAAAAATACAGACCCCTATAGTATATTACAATCAGAAATCCACACCTACAAACAAAATGGTTATGTCATGCTACAAGGAGATTTCAATGCCCGAACAGCCAACTTAGTGGACACTATAGAAGACGATGAGGACAACTATATACCAACACCCGGTATTTACACATGTGATACACTAACCAAAAAGCGACATAACATGGACACCCAGAAAAATACATTTGGAGAAGACTTGATAAAAATGTGCAGGTCCAATTAGATGGTCATTTTAAATGGAAGGGGAATAGGAGACAGATTAGGAAGACTCACATGCTATGAATAGAATGGTGCAAGTACAGTGGACTATACAATCTGTGACAACCAGCTACAACAACATGTCATGAACTTCAATGTACATGAACCCACTATTGCATCATACCATTGCCAAATAACGACTGTGATCAGATTACCACGATTCAGTGAGAAAAACACTAACTTAAATCAGCATTTAGAAAATACTCCAGGAAAATACAAGTGGTCAAGAGAATCCAAAAATCTGTATACACTTTATCTAAAAACCAAGGAAGGTCATGATAACATCAATAAGTTCATACAAAAAGATCTCTCTACACTTACAACTGATGAAATCGCTAGAAATTTCCAGCAAACAATAGAAACAATTGCAGAGGACTGTTTAATTGTGAAAAAAACAACACAGAAAATCCCAAAATATGTAAAGACCTTACAAAAACAACAGTGGATAACTTTGCAGGGCAAGATTAATAGTTTGAACACCAAGACTAATACTCAGGAATTCTGGAAATTGATTGGAAAATACACCAATAAGAACAATACAAATCAACTACCAGACATACCATATCACAAATGGATAAACCATTTTCAGTCCATAGGTAAAAATTCTAACATACCAATCAGCCGACAAGAAGAAATAGACAAACAGCTGACTTCTGAGGAGGAAAACAACATTCAGAATGAAATTATAAACGAAGACATCTCAGTCAAAGAAATCATGGTCTGTTTTAGACATTTAAAGATGGGAAAATCTTCAGGGATAGATGGGTTACCAGCGGAGATGCTAAAATTTGGCGGTCCACTGCTAGTAACAGCACTTCAAAAGCTATATATTACACAAAGGACATATTACACAAAAGACAGTACCCAGATACTTGGAACATAAGAAAGATGACCCCTTAAATCCTGGGAATTATCGAGGCATTTCTACTAGCAGCACCATCGGGAAGCTATTTGCAATGATTATGAATAACAGAATAAACAGATATTTAGAAAACAACAATATTATTCATAAAAATCAGGCAGGATTTAGAATAAAGCACCGTACTGTAG